GTCGAAGAAGGAGTAATTCACCTAGTTGAGAGACCGGCGGACCTCCTGAGGGTGCGGACTGACGCGCAATTGGCACCGAAAGATTTGACCTCGGCGACCTAGCAAGGGCTCATCTTGGCGCGGTCGGCGGGGTCCGCCCACTGACCATCTGGCCTTCGCCGCAGGACTATGAGTGGCGAGTGATTATATAGCAGAGAGAGTAGTGTTGAAGGAAGCACAGCGATTATAGGCGCACCAAAGGGCAAATTCAGGAAGGAAGGGTTCCCATTTCTTGGGTTCTGGGCCGTTTCTGTGTTCTTGCTCGTGTACCACACACTATTCCTAGGTTACTTTGAAATGGGTCATTTTTCTATCGTGAATTCTACTTAAAATGAACCTGTAGAGGAAGCTTTTAGCCGGATTGTAGTTCGCAACCGATTTTGCTAGATGTGTTATGTAGTGCTGATCTAACCGATTCAGTGTTGTCGCAAGAACAACGGCTTGGAATTCTGGGGCCTAAGAGGGGGCAAGAACTCCGTGTAGAAGTAGGTACTGCTCAACGCCACTGCTGGAGTCTCTCCCCGCTCGCTAAGGCTAGTAGTTTTTTGAGTTCAAGGCAGAATTTCACGGGCGCATTCAAGTGTATTGCTAGCAGATGCACCGCGTATCTTGCCGGACAGCGCCAGTCATATTACCTAATTCGGTTTTACTGCCTCATAGCTTTGCAGAAGGTTCATTAGAAATTCCAAGGAAGTTGCCTGTTCGATAATACGGAGGATCGCTTTTCGAGGTTTTTGTGTGGCAAGAGTGTGCTCGCAACCTTCTTGCTTCTTTGTGGTCTTTCTCAATCAATGCATACTTTGATCATTCAAAAGGTGAAACAGTAACAAGCGCTCTGAATAGTAGATTAGGTAGGCATAGGCATAGAAGGGATTGAGAAAAACGTAGAGTCTCGAATATGAGATCTCTAATAAATATCATAGACCACAGCTATTAATGTGGACTAGTTTTTTGGCACCACTATTCATTTGTCTTGAAGCCAGTTTGCACAATAAACCACACTGGTGAAACTTTGTGGTAAATTATTGACGGTATAAGATGTCATTGAACAAATGGAAAAAGATCCAGCTGCAGGAAAGCAATAAGAAACCTAGCAGCCGGTCTTACCTTGCAATGTCTTTTTCGGAAACTAATAGTATTAGTATTTCAGAAATTATTATATTAATTATTCGCACAAGTTGGAAGACTTACCAGCCTATGATTGACACCCCGTAACCTCGGCAAAGTTATACAGTTTTTAGTTGCTCAGTCTTAGTTTTAGTTTTAGTTTCAGTACGAGCCGCCAAAAATGGCATAAACTATTTCGGCTCACGTTTCGGCAAACTAGCTTCTTCAAGCATACAAATCGAAGTACCTCCCCTTCAAAAAGCGAGAAAGTGTCGGGTGCAGACCATGCACCACAAGTGACGACGGCCTTCACAAAATGTTAATGTTTTCTGCCAATGAAATGATTAGCCTGTTGCAGTTGTATTCTATCGATTGTCACTAATTACAACTATCATCCAGAAATCAGCTATCACTATGAACAACTTCTAACCAGATTTACTTGAGGCCGTCGTCAGTTGTGGTGTTTGGTCTGCACCCGATACTTTCTCGCTTTTTGAAGGGAATGTTATATTTTGGGATAATTCGTCCAAACAACATTTGAGATCACAATAAGCAGAGGCTAGGCAAAAACGAGGCCATGAACGATTCGTAAAAACGTTAATTGAAAAGCCGAGTGTTAGAAGACACCCTTTGATTAACCCTCACTTACGACTTTTTGTAATGAAGATTTTGGTTTATTTTGCATAATACCTGATACTCCCGGCAGCAGCTAGTCATCTGCAAAAGTTGGCTCACATACGCTCTGTCTGACCTTGGATTTGATCCAGGGACCATGCGCGCGGTAGTGGCCCATCTAGTCACCACACCATCTCCGCCCGAGTGGATATTTTAGAAATATGAATCGGCAATTTAGTTACCATTCACAAATACTTATTTTAGTGTTGAAAGTGTACGAAACACGACAACTTTTTTTTGGGAGCTGCGCACCTGGCCAGTGACCTTCGGTACGACTTGCTTTAGTAACTCATCCAGGGTAACTCGCCTTGACTTGTGACGATTTGTTTTAGGAGTAAGAATCATAAAGTTCCCATCCGCGCACACTCCCGCCATCAAGCTATCACAATGAGTCCGAGAACTGTGGCAGTGTCTTTGACTGCGGAAAAAGCACACATGTGTACCACCAGTAGTCAAAGGCTCAAAGACGATGCAGCGACGCTTTTATAAGTGCTTCGCACCTTTAAGGCCGGTGTATGGCTTAAGGGAACCCCTCCCCTTCAAGGTAGCCTTGGAGTTGAAGGGTCAGACTGCAGCATTTGGTAGCCCCAAGGAATAACCACGTGGATCAATATCTTTTGAGACCGCAAAAAAAAGATTATCAGCCTCGCTGGTGCAATTTTGCCCAGGTCCTTATGCTGCGACAGCAAAGAATGTAGACTTCAACGTTTAAATAATAATTTTCCGGGAGCGTTTTCAGCCTGAAGACGCCATAGATAAAAACCTTTCTAAGAGCATTTTCCGCCCGAAAGCGCCTTACGTTTTCTTTTCTAGCAAGACCGGGGGAATTCCACTGCACTATTTGCAGAATGTGTCGTGGCAGAAGCGGTGTTTGAGTGTTTTTCAACTCCACGAGCTAGCTTAGAGCTTGCATCAATGCTTATAGTTCCTGGACTAGCACGTAGTGCGGATGTTCTTGAAGTGATGTCTTACGCTTCTGTTTGCTTTCGTCGTGTTGACTCACTCATTTCTTCTCAGATTGCCTCCAAAAACATTCTTAATTGTTTTTGTGCTATTTAGCTAACACCACCCATTGAGCATCGAAGCGATGCTTTCACGTTAACGATTGAGACATTCGCCAAACTTCTCTGATTTCAATTGCTTGGTATCGGAATTGAATGAAAAGGAATGCAAGGCAGAATTGTACTGTAATGGAAGGCCCCACTCGCGTGGACGGTGTGGAGATCAAGTCTCGAGTTCTCCACTTCTGTGAGGAATGGTCAAGGCTGTTCTACGGGTGGAGTGAGGACCAGGGGTCAACCCTACGTTGTTACGAGTAACGGGGGGGGGGTCGTACCTGGTTGAGTTTGTAGGAGGGGGGTCGTACCCACTTTAGTCGCTCGAAATCACGTGTGGGATTGAGGTGAAACTAAGATTTCGTGGGTAGTAGGCTGGGCGAGTGGAGGGCGCGCAGGATAAAAATTTGCCGTTTCAGCGGGCGTATATACTCCCCCTAGAAAAGGAAGTAGTGGGAGTATAGGTAAAAAATGGGTTGAAATGGTGGAAATAGAAGGAAATTTTCGGAGATATTTACCGTTTCAGAGTGACTATATACCCCCCGCTCGACGGCATTTTTGGAGGAAAAAGTGGGCGGGGTTTTGATGGAAGATGGAGATGGTGGAGGTAGGGAAAAGGGGGTCGTATCAAATCCACGTTGGGGGAGGGGGGTCGTAAAAATTTTTCGAAAAGTAACAACGATAGGACAGACCCTGGTGGGACGGGAATTTTAAAGGCAAGATTCGGGGATAAAATAGGTGTGGAAAAGCGTTCAGTTATGAAGCTATAGGTGGGAGGTGGTCTGTAAAAGAGAAGGAAAGCAAACGAAACCACCGATTACGCCCGTACAGAGACCTCCGCTATTTCAGCCACATTCCACCTTGGGATAGAGAAGAGGCGAATCGCGTGGACGAGTTTTAACGAACCCAAAACTCTACTTGCTCTAGTGTCAATAACATTGGATAGCGCTGGGACTACTGCCTCAAATGTGCCCGCGCTTTTCAAGCGCGCCACGTGGCAACCGACAGCGAAGGGTGGGGCTTGCGGACGAAGGTGTGAGTGCGGGTTGGACACGATTCCTCCTTTCACTTTGGACGACTTACTACTTCCAAGCCGCAAAAGTGATCCGACATTAACACTTGTTCACCAGCCTACTACCCCCTGGATGAAACAGGTGAGCCCGCCTGATCGCGGAGCGTGCCTTTAAGTTTGACCCTCTTCTAATAAGCACAAAAGGTCATGTGCGCATCCAAATTATATCTTCATGGATAGCGCGAAATGGTGTTGCGGGGGTATTGCATATGTTGACTTCTAACAATCGAGAGATTAATAGCAAGGCGGCGTCGATATTCGCTTTTTAGATCCATCGGAATGCGAGAAAGAAGTGATTCTTGGCCATGGGCAAAAGTTTGCCTAAGATCTGAGCGAGACGGAATGCGGCATTGGAATGGACTCAAAGTGGATGCGACCACTGGACTGGCGGTCGCGAACGATGGACGAATTATGTTAGATTTGGGAGAATTTCACCAGTTCTTTCGAAAATTTACCTCCAAATAAGTGCATTAAAATTTTTGTCCTCACTAGCTAGGGATACCTCTAGCACTAGAGGCAGAGCGCACTAAATTGGCCCCCTCCAGCGTTTAAAACATCCTAGGTTTCGCTTTACTGCTACTTATTCAGCGACTCAGTGACCATCCTCTCTCAGGTGTCATCAACAGTGGCGTGCACGACCTCAGGCCCTCCCTTATTCTTCCCCTCTTCACTCTTCTGAAAACTGACTGAACGGAATCGTGATTCATGACAGCGAGTCGTTTGAAACTGAAATGCTGTTTTGAGGATAATGACAAGTGCGCGAACCTTTGACGGCGACATTTGACGTCTGCAATCCCTGGCCAAAACTGCGATAAGTCTGCGGCGCGGTGATTCTCGTGGAACGTCTCGGAGATGAACGACCTTTACCCATACCGAGGAAAAAATGAACTAAAGAACGAAGTTATTCGTCATCGCTGAAGTTTTTGGTTCTTCTGGTGGACTTTTTGTTTCGATGTGGTGCGCTAAGACGTTCAATACACTACTTTCGTGCTTGTTTCTAGGAGGAACAGAAGAGGAAAATGAACAAAGGGGGGTGGGACCAGTCTGTAAACATGGGGGATGAGAAGTTCACTACTGCAAAAGAACGCCAGCTGTATTCACTAGAGATCGGTGTCTCTACTGAAGGCCGAATCTCGTGCTTACGAAAGAAGCTCCCAGGGTTAGTTGCCAGTAAGGACAAAGATCGCGATGACACGAATTTTCGCGAAAGAGAACATGGGCAGTGGAGAGGGTAGAGGGGTATCCAAGTAGACAATAGTGGTGCTTTCGCGGTGAAAGGTGTGCTATCACAATCAACGGTGATAGCACTTCTTTCACCGCGAAAGCACCACTATTGATAAGGTGCCGGAGGTGCAACAAAAAGACCCTCAAATACCACCGCCAACAGGTGTAATGGGAGGTGCGGTCATATGGCTCGGATCCCATTTGGCATTGGAGCGCAGGCCGTAATTACCACGTCCTGCTGTGGCCGGACAACTCGTCCGCGCAACACATTCTGTTCCGTTCCTCTTGCCTTGGCATCAGGCCAGCAAAAGCTATCCGCTCTTTTTTAGGCTTTGGGACTCAGCGAGATTTTTGAGACCCAAATATACATAGGATCAATGACAGAAGTCTGGTAGTTAAGTGATACGGGACGGAGTTGTCCGAGCCGCAGATAGGATAGGGCAATTGCGGACTGTGCCGCTTAATGCAATGTTTCGGGATTGCGCATTATGACGCGCCCAGTGTAATTGGCGACGATTCATTTAGTTTTTGCGAATCAAGCAATTCGCTAGCACCAGCGAGTCGAACGATGTACCACAAGTCGAACTAGGTACCAGCGACTCAACAGTGGCGGGACCAAACGTTCAAAGGAAGCCCGCCACTTTCAAACAGTGTCACGTGACAGTGGACGCTTTTTGAAAGTGGCGGGACTTGACAGTGGACACTGTTTGAAAGTGGCGGGCTTCCTTTGAACGTTGGGTCCCGCCACTATTGAGTCGCTGGTACTTAGTTCGACTCGCTGGCGCAACACTCGGATCCAGCGATTCGCAAACTATGACATCGGCCTAAGGGATGATAGCAATAATATATTTGAAGTGAAACATTACCGTCATGACTGCGATTTTCTCTTTCCAGTTGCCTGAATCGTTACCAAGCAAATAACTGCCTACGATTAGGGGTGATACATGCCATTCTCTAAAACTTTCACCGTTACGAGCTCTCTTGATCAATGATAAAACTCGTCACTCTCAAAAGCAACGGTGCGAAGTGTGAGCCCTGTTTCTCCGGTCATGTTTGAAAGAACCACTCGATGGCACTCTACCTTTACTTTTTAACGACACCGCCCATCGTAAGAGCTGTCTTTTCCGGATTAGCTGTCAACAGCCGATTCCTCCTTGGGTGAAAAGGAAAGGTTCCAAGATAGGACAGTCGACGACGTGTCGTGCTCAAAGGCGAGACGACGCTGACAGCCTGGACTTCTGTGCGCTGTCAGACTGTCAACCTTATCTAGTCGCGGCATAGGTGACGTCTCGCTCTCTGCGTACAGGCGTCCTCTCTCATGTTTTTCCCTCGCTTGCTGGTCTCTTCCGTCTTACACAGCCAACCTCACGAGTGAAATTTCAGCCTTTTTCGTGCTTTTCTCTCACTAACGTCCCCTTTCGCTCTTCTTGTGCGAATTTTCGAACAAAATAACCCATCAATTAGATCCCGACCCGTGCCAGTAAGGTGGAGTCAAGAAACGCTGTCTCTCCTTATCCTGCAGTCATATGACTCCGACCACACCAATATACATTCTTCCCTGGAAACTGCAAAGCATTTCGGGAGAATGGAGAGCTCATCTTTCTCTTTTATAAATGGGGAACGAGCAAAACTCAACCTCTTTTATGTCACTTCGTGTCACATCTTTTGCACTGTGATGTGGCTTTTGCCAAACTTGGAACAGTTTTGGACGAACTTACCACATTAAAAAGCGCTTTTGGGCGCAGGGTCAACCCTACGTTGTTACGAGTAACAACGGGGGGGGGTCGTACTGGTTGAGTTTGTAGGAGGGGGGTCGTACCCACTTTAGTCGCTCGAAATCACGTGTGGGATTGAGGTGAAACTAAGATTTCGTGGGTAGTAGGCTGGGCGAGTGGAGGGCGCAGGATAAAAATTTGCCGTTTCAGCGGGCGTATATACTCCCCTAGAAAAGGAAGTAGTGGGAGTATAGGTAAAAAATGGGTTGAAATGGTGGAAATAGAAGGAAATTTTTCGGAGATATTTACCGTTTCAGAGTGACTATATACCCGCCTCGACGGCATTTTTGGAGGAAAAAGTGGGCGGGGTTTTGATGGAAGATGGAGATGGTGGAGGTATGGAAAAGGGGGTCGTATCAAATCCACGTTGGGGGAGGGGGGTCGTAAAAAATTTTCGAAAAGTACAACGATAGGACAGACCCTGGGAAGGTACTGCCGGTGTAGATCGTCAGTGGCCGTCTTACAAGGGAGCATTTCTAAAAATTCGTCTGAAAGCATGTGGACAACGACCTCACTGTCCCGTCGTTCCACAGTAGTGCCGCGAACTTTCTTTCTCCACCGTCGATAAGTGCGGAATCTCGGGAAAATACTGGACCAGTTCAATAATCGATGTGGAGTTTCTGGTCAGCATCTCTAAAACCTTTGAAGAAGGTGAAAGCACCGAAACGTCGGCCCTAATAAAGTTACTGCCGATATGATGGTTACAAGCTTGGTTGCTGACCATCGTATTCTGAAGACTATGCACTATAGGATACAGACTACTATTGATCGTGCTTTTACAGGGTAGAGCCTTCCAAGACTGAGCACTTTATTAGGCTTAGGTTTCGGCTTTTTCGCCTTCGTCAGAGCCTGAAATGGTCAAAAGCCAATTGTAACTTGTCCGCCCGAACGCCTCAACAAAGAATCCAAGACACTTTCACTAGATTAGCCAACTTTAACGGTATTGATCGATGGAGTTTCAAAAGCTGTAGTTGAAATTTTGCTGTGTGGTCACGAAGAGAGTTTCACGCAGATCGCTGAAATCGCTTATGTTGGTCATTATCGCAGGGGTCAGGGCGAGAACGTGATAGATAAAAATCTCAGAACGGGTTCCGAGAAACTTTCACCCACTAAAGAAAAGCGGCTAAGAATTCCGTAAGCGTTTCAGGGTTACCTTGATTTGGGTGTGAGATAAGAGCTCGTAGACGAGCAAAAATGGGGATGGGAATTTTATGAATGAACACGAAACTTCGCAGCACAGGACGCTGCAGCTTTTTTCACGGTTAGGCAAGTTCTTGACGTTTTAGATTAGCTCTTGCCTGGAGGAAAGCTCAATGCCGCCCGGATGATCATTTCTATGATAGCGTGCCTTCTGCAATCACTTTCTTTGTGGGATCCGCGTTAATGTGATGCCACCTTCGTGTTGTTTGTCGTCGTTTGTGTATCAGTGATCTAGTGGCAATTTGACCATGTTCCAAATATATGAGAATTTCTGAGCTCAAATAAGCCAACTATTGAGTAGTTACTTATAAAAACGATTACTAAGTCAAAGATAACGATCCTTTTCCGTGTGCAGTTCTCTGTTGGTGGCGCGCACAGTTGCGTGACTTACGATTAAGCAAAACGTAAGGTGGAAGTCCTGAAAATTCTGACGGATATTCGATTTCAGCGAGCACATATCTGTACCATAGCCAATAATTAGAACCGTCAACGGCAGTCCCGCAGACCTGATACGGGTACGTATGACAGTACACGAGAGTCCTACTCCGGTTTCAACTGCTTCCGCTTACTCGCAGATTTCCAGGATTTGTCGAATTCTCTCGGGCGCGCGCATGTTCGATACGATCCTCTACCACCACCCAACCGTGGCGGAGTCCGCGATACAACCCCTTCTTAACTTTTACGCATCAGCGAAAGCGAACTCACCTCCCAGAAACCAGATGACTACTCCCCCCACCCCGTTGAGAAATGCGCACCGCGCTGCTGACCCTGGTCCCACCTCCTACTCAGATCTCTAACGTCCTTACCTAAGCTGGACAAATTGTCGTTCTGATTTGTGGGCAGCGGCGCTTACGCAGAAAGCTCAAAGCAACACCCCTCGTTTTGGTAGAGAAGAAGACGCTTTATGTCCCATTTGGACCGTAATAGCATGGCTGTTTTGGAGCGTAACGACTTAACGAATTTGCGGTCTCCTTCAAAGGCAGCGACGACGGCAATGGTAGATATCAATTTTATCGGTTCACTGAAAAAGAGTACTTGCGGTTCATCGATCTTCTCATGAAAACTAGCAAGAAACCAAAAGAAACGCCAGAAGAGACGGTTTTTCAATGCATCGAAACCGGAGGCGAGTACTTTCACCACAGTTCCCTACAGCCTGTTCTTCGACATAAAGAGCACTTTTTGTCGACTGGGGGAATCATGTGATGCCTGTTCTACCCTTTCGCACCAGATATTGTTAGACGGTTAAAAGAGAGGGGCGTCTTTCTTTCTCAGGAACGAACGTAGAAGGGAAGGGTGCAAAATCAATTCTCGCTTCGAGCACTTTTTCCCTTAGTTTGAATCTTTTTCGAGTGGAAACGTTGACGCAGACGTACAGCTAAAGAAGTACGGTCAAAGTGCGAGCGGGATGATTGAAAACTCCATGACATCTCTAAGAAAAATGAAAAATCTCGAGCTCCCACAAGGAATCCACAAAAGCGTCGTCATTCTCAACGTCTGAAAACGAAAACTCTTGCTCTCCGGTTAGGGTTCTACTTGATGCGGAGATAGCTTCGTGAACGGCCTCGAAATTGCGCTATACAAGGTGGTTCAGTCGACTGCACTCAGTCGATATAACGATTCCATGCCGTGAAATTTACACTTGAAAAAACCTTGTGTGAAACGATAAGACCTTGCTCTTATTCTCTCAAACTAATTCCCCTTTTGCATTATTCACTTTTCTGATACCGGTTACTTTTCATTAAAGTCGAACGAATTTCTCCAGTCGGTATCCGTCGAAGACGTCCCCAAATCTAAAATATGCATGCTATACATAGATCACTTGGATCTATGGTGAGAGAATATTGAGTATTACAACTGCAGCTTTCGAGTAATTAGCGATACCCAAGAAAGATATAATATAAAATATATGATTTACTGAATCGAGTTGTTCTTGTTTCTTATGGTACGTATACCATGAAAAGCTGAGTTGGAATGAAATGGTGCCCCGGTAGCGTAACTGGTAGCGCACTTGCCCGGAAAGCGAGAGGTGCGGGTTCTAGTCCCGCCTGGGGCGAAAGTTTTGTTCACAACCCAGCATACTTGTGAAACTAAATCGATGTTTCGAATATCTTCACATTATACCGATTTTTTAGGGTTGTTTCGTAGTTCTGCAGTAGAGCAGTAGCGAGGAGACGTGGAACTTCTTGTAAGGTTAATCGCAAATGAGCAAAAAGAGCTATACATAAATCTATTCTTATAGTAGAATATCCAAAAAGCTTTGAATTTTTCGGACATGAAATGCGATACGAATGGACCCGACCTCTTTGGAATGTCACTGTGTCAGAGCTATCCACTTAAGGTTTTTAAATAGTGAGGCATGTTGGGCCCCAGTCAGCGCTGTGCGGTGCAGGTGGAGACAATAAACGCTACATTTACTAACAATTTTGAACGATATAGAGGTGTTTGTTGGGGGTGGGGGGGGGTAGATTATGTCTCCTGATCAGATCAGCGGAGCAAGATCAATTGGTTCCCAACTTAGTAAGTGTTTGACTTCTTCGATCAGATTTTTATTCACCCATAAAAATTTTACGGAGGAACGGACAAATCAAAAGAGCGACAGACAAACAGAAGCATTAACGAATTACTTCTATGATTTTTCAACAGAACGGTATTTTCAGGGTCGATTTACCGGTGAAAAAGCTTGAGGATCTCAGTCGAGCCCGTATGAAATGTGCTCGACATCTTCGAAAAATGGATTTCAAGAAAGAGGAGTATATCAACTTGTGGAAACTGTGCAATATCTACTCAGCGACGGCTGTTGACGTCGATGATGTGAGACATTTTGAGTTTACCACTTCTTTATTCGCTCATCAGCGACTTTTATAGGCAATGCGAGAGATTCGAAATGCTCTGCGAAAGCGGCTGAAGACGAAAGAGTCATCGCGGGACGTGTCAGCTTTTCGGCGCCTCATCGACGAGTATCGTCCAACGAAGAAAACCGTCGCTAATGAACATCAACAGGAGATCTACGACAAGCCCACCAACAAGGTCTGTTTCTCCATTGGTCAAGCCACGGATGGCTGTGCACCTTCCTAAAACCTTGCTGCGAAGGTTGCTTTCAGAAAACTGCCACTCGGAGCTAGAAGGTGGCCTAGTCACATTATGAGTCACGATAAAAGGGTAAAAATGATACAGCATTCGACATTGTTCAATCCCATCTTTGGATACGCCCTGCATTCTACTTCTATTCAGAACCGTAGTGGCAATTTGAATGCGATGTGGCCTATACAATGACTTGCGGGGATGTACAAGTCAGTGTTTTTATCCTCCCAGACAAGTCTGGTACCAATTAACCGACCCCGGAGGGATGGAAGGCTTGGTTGGCCCGGGCGACTCACGACCCAGGATTTGATCCCCGGACCACTA